TGTAAACCATAAGCCCTTTCTAATTTCTAAAGTTGGAGACACAATCTTAAATAGTTACAATATTGTAAAAATGCAATCAGTAAGTCACAAAAATTATAAATTTTATCCATTGCCAGAATTTTTCTATTGGTAAAGTTTATTTTTATAGAATCATGAGAAGGATTTTTATTTTCAATTAATGTTTTTCCTGATTTGGAAAACAAGTCAAGATATAAGATGATATAAAAATAGATTGAAGATTTTAGCTTTTACAAGGGGATAAAATACTAAATATGAAATTGAAGAAAAAAATGGAAAATGAATTTTTCATTTTTATTACACATTTCGAACTATTTTTTCACCTATTACAAAATACAAAATAATACAAAAATATTTGGATGAAAAAAATAAAAGCTCAAAGTTAGTTATTTAGTTAGTTAGTTAGTTAGTTAGTTAGTTAGTTAGTTAGTTAGTTAGTTAGTTAGTTAGTCAAAATAATCAAAACTCTTAGTCAAAATTTTCTTAGTTTCAGTGCAAACCATTGCACTGAAGCTGAAAATATTAAAGAAAATTAAATTTTTCAGATTTGTCGATCATAAAACACAAAAACGATTATTTTAAAAGCCACAGAAAACCATGCTTATTTTTATAAATGTAGGAACTTAAACCTGGTTTCAGTCGCGTTCATTGGAATGAATCTAATACATTTTTTCATACCTTATTATTAGATTTCTCCATACACTCCCTTTAGTTGTCCTATTATTAGATTTTTCCATACACTCCCTTTAGTTGTCCTATTATTAGATTTTTCCATACACTTCCTTTAGTTGTCCTATTATTATATTTTTCCATACACTCCCTTTATTTGTCCTATTATTAGATTTTTCCATACACTCCCTTTAGTTTTCCTATTATTAGATTTTGCCATACACTCCCTTTATTTGTCCTATTATTAGATTTTTCCATACACTCCCTTCATCTGTTCCATTATTATATATCTCCATACACTCCCTTTAGTTGTCCCAATGAAGAGGACCGAGAATCCCGTTAAAGTATTGTGAGCCTCACAGCCTCCCCTCGCCTCATCTCATTCAGTCTTCAGGACCCTTCCAGTCAGAGTACAGGATAAGACAGGCTAGGACAGGATAAGACCGGCTAGGACAGGATAAGACAGAATAGGTCAGGATAAGACAGGATAGGACAGGATAAAACAGGATAAGACAAGATAAGACAGAATAAGACAGGAAAGGACAGGACCGGGTAGGACAGGATCAATCTTTAATGATGGAAGGAAAGGTATGAAAGGTATGTGAGGATGGAGGGGTGGGAGAGCCATGGATATTATAAAAATTTGGTATATTACTAAGCACAGGCCACAGCCCCAACCCTTTAACAAAAAAAATTTCTTGTACAGCTCCAGCCCCTCAAAATTTTACTTTGCCTTCCCCCCCCCGTCACTGTTTGCGAGAAATTGCGAAATTTCATTATTTGGTGGCAAAATCCGTGGAAAAAAATTCCACGCTTTGAAGTTGCATTTATTACATACAAACCCCCCTGCTGCAGCNATTCACTCAATAAATCATTATATAAATCATAATACTCTCATCATTCACTCAATAAATCATTATATAAATCATAATACTCTCATCATTCACTCAATAAATCATTATATTAATCATAATGCTCATTTTAAAAGAGCATTTTCCGATTTCCTAACATTAATAAGTATTATTTTTATAATATAATTGGACAAAAAAATTGATTAGTTTGCCATAGATGAAATAGGGATACATTTTGTTAAGTCTAACTAAATTTAAATTCTAAAATGAAAATTTTCACTTTTTGTAATTTCAGACTTTCAAATTTGACCAGGAAAGATTAAACATGGGTTACCCGGAACAGAAAGGTAAACAAAAGATTTTTATAAACTTATTTAAATTGTATTTTTTGAATCGAATAATATCACAATACTATTAAATTGCATTAATTAAGTTCAAAAATTATTTTAAATTTTAAAAGGACTGTAATTCTTGATTCACAACGGTACCCTTAAAAGCTTTGTCTGATCAAGTATAAATTAGATATCAGTGTTTATAGTTTTCAAAACTGACTATTATCAATTCTGGCGTATTTACTGCAGGACAATATGAACGAATTATCAGAATTAAACACTTTTAAACCTAGTAAAGCCACAATATTTTTTACATTATTGATCAGATAAAGGTTTCAAGGGTACTGTTGTGAATCGAGAATCTTTGCTTGAAATTACGCTAACAGCCTATTTAATTCTAGACAATTAGGTTAGGGTTGATTGAAATATATCATATTATTCTTGTAGGCCTTACCCTGCATACCGTAAAGACAAGTTCTTGCGGAGAATTAAAAGTCTACTCAGAGGTATATTTTGTAAAAGATATTTTTTCTTGACGTAAAATTGGTATCTTTTAATAAAAAAAATACTTAAGACACTATTTTACTTTTATAACTTTTTTATGTTTTATACATCTGCAACATATGTTTAGAATATGCTTTGCATACGGTGGTTGCCTATAAAAATCACATTTTTACTTTTTTTGCCTTTCATCTTTAAAAAGCGCTCTTAGCTTGGAATAAAACTGATCTATATATATATATGAATGGGTTAGACCCATGAAACATCTGTATATTTAAACATCTAAAATGTATATTTAAACATCTAAAATGTATATTTAAACTGAAAAAGTGTAAAATTCATGTATATATATATTAACTATCCTGGCAAAACGGCTGGACCAAATTGGTTGCCTTATTATAGGCTACATGCATTATTTTCTTTTAATGTTTGAAATTCCACGGGCAACAGCAACACGGTGCACTTCAGCTAATTTCAACATTTAAAACTAAGTAAGGGTGAAAATTGAGATTTACTTTGAATAATAATGAATAATAGTAAAAGCCTGGGCAACTGATTGAAATATTCTTTGGTGGTCAGTAGTTTCCGGAATTTATCGATTATTTCGAACAACAAAGAAAAAAATCCTGATTAAAATCTTCTTAAACAATAGGAAATTCTTAAGATTTTTAATTTTGAAAGAAAACTATATGAAGATATTGTTCGAAAAATTAATTTTAAATCGTAATTATTTTAATATTCATTTTATATAACAAAATCCTTTATTTTAATCAGTCGCCATCAAATCCAAAGCTTTGATGTTCTCTATTATTTTTATTTGCTTTCAAAAAAGTTTATTTAAAATTTTTTTCGTATCACTCGTATGTTTGTAGACTTGCTCTGTTTTTGAAAGTTCTAGGAAACATATAAAATGTTGAACAAACAAAATTTCGTTGAATTTTATAAGTTTCTAATGGTTTCTCATGAAGGGAACAGTTTAACGAAATAATATTTCTTGTTAAATTAACATGAAAGCTTTTAAACAATTCAATAAATCCTTTTTAATCAAATTGGACAAGTGGAGTTGGTTTTAACCTATATGAAGTATTAAGTCTGACCACGTCAACCTGGTTGCACCGGCTAGTTCTGTCCATAGAGCTAGGTACAATACAAATTGGGACCGGAAAGGTTGACCCGGCTCGGAATTTCAAATGTGGTAGGTATACCCGTGTACCGAGCTCAACACTTCGTCATTTTCCATCATACTCTACAGTGTACAATGATTATTTTCCCGCATTATTTTTTGTTTTAATTGATTCATTTTCAGAAATAATGAATTTTTCTAATTTTCAAAATTTAATTGTCAACAAATCTTCCGCGGGGAAATTTGAGTTGTCAAAAAAGCAGTTGTCAGGATCAGTTCAAACGTTTTGACGTTTTTGGACACAAACAGACAAACAGACACCCACGCTGACAAGCCAAATATACATATGTAAATAATGTGTTTAAGGACTTTAAACAAAGTGTGAAAATATTAGAAATTAATATTTTCTTTTAGATAAAGAAAATTATTCCACTTGTTTTTCTTACTACCTTCGTACGCAGTACGAAGTACGGACAATATAAAAAGGCTGTACAGAATTTAAACCGTTATATTTACATTGAGGTTGTAATTTGTAAATTTTTTGTCTCAACAGTTTTGATTATGTTCTGTCCCCCCCCCCTTTATACAAAAAATGCAAATCTTAAATCCGGAGAATTTTCTATTTATCAATTTAGATGCATGAAAAGCTTGAAAGTGCTTAAGTACATTTCTAAACACCAACACACAACAGTTTTTAAAGGCAATTTATCTAGAGAATGCACAGTACACATTCAATCCGTGAAGGCTGCGCAATTGGTTAAAAAAAATAAAGAAAAAAAGTATTTTTGTTGCAGGGTAATCTTGAGCATGCGCAGAAGGAGGAGATTTGTGCTTTCCTCACTGTTCATGATATGGGAAGCAACTATGAGTCAATGGTAAGCTTGTTCATGATATGGGGAGCAACTATGAGTCAATGGTAAGCTTGTTCATGATATGGGGAGCAACTATGAATCAATGGTAAGCTTGTTCATGATATGGGAAGCAACTATGAGTCAATGGTAAGCTTGTTCATGATATGGGGAGCAACTATGAATCAATGGTAAGCTTGTCATTTTTGGTGCTGAGAGACCAAAGGAATTAAGTCTCTGAATGTAACAAACTCACATTTGCAACCTGATGGTGTAAACCTTTGATATTTCAAATTATTTGTTTCATCGAAATATCTATATAAGGTCTCCGACATTGGGTTGCACAGATATTGGGATTAGAAAATCATAGTTTGTGACTCATTACCTTAAACGAATAGCGAGATAAAATAAACATCGTAAATTAGGTTAAACAACTTTTCTTCATCTTCCGCTACACAAGAGAAGTTCTCTCGTTTTTAATTTTAATATTTGGCCTACAGTAGTACCCCCTCTTTTATATATATGCATTTTAGCCTTTTCTTTAATCAGCATGTATAATTTCAAATTCAGATTCCTTCTAAGCATTTAAGAAAATGAGAAGAATAAAATTTAAATATCTTTAAAGAGTCAATCAATTATGGAATATTGGAAAAGTTCCTGCCGAAGAAAGAGAACATTAATTAAGTAAAATTTAAGTCTAGAACCATCTTTTTATTTAATTCCAATGCAAGTGGATTTTACTTTCGCGCAATTGCAAGCCCTTAAAAACCGCACAATTCTGCACAACTCTGCGGAATTCCGTGTAATTCCGTTCAATTTCACGGAATTCCGCATAATTCCGCGCAGCGGAATTAATTCTGATTGGAAACCCTACTTGACATATACTGTTTCATCATTTTGTTCATTTCATAATTGCAGTTCATTGCAGGGTAGTTCGTTTGTTATTTAATTGTTTTTCTTCATTTATTCGTTTAGTTATCATTTTTTAATCATTTTTTACCAATTGATAATTGATCGTTTTTTGTTCATAAATCGTTCATTTATCATTTGTTAATAGTTCGTTTACCAATTGATAATTGATCGGGTTTCATTCATAAATCGTTCATTTATCATTTGTTAATAGTTCGTTTACCAATTGATAATTGATCGGGTTTTGTTCATAAATCGTTCATTTATCATTTTTTAATAACTCTTCCATCGTTTGTTTCCCTTTTGTAATTTTTGCTGTTAGATTTTTTTTCTCGATTTTTTGTGATTAGCAAAAATATAGTTCTGCATAATTTGAGAACAGTTTTTGATTAATAAACATTTAAAAAAGAAGAATAATTTTACTCTTTCATTTAGTTTTTTTTTCTTCCAAAACGTGTATAGATATTAGATTAACATGTATTTTATCAGAAACGTGTATAGATATTAGATTAACATGTATTTTATCAAAAACGTGTATAGATATTAGATTAACATGTATTTTATCAAAAATAGATATAAAAGGTTGCGGCCCGATTTATCTTTTAATCTTGGTTTATTTGATTTAACATAATTTACAGTTTGAAATATACTAAAGTTCTACCACCACTATAGTTTCAGAAGAAATAAATATTTCCATTTACTGATAGCGCCGATCGAAGGATTCATAACTTTGATTTGATAATGAGATAGATAGAAAGATAGAAAGACCTCCATACTATTTCATACTGGTTTAGAATAGACAACCAACACATGCCTGAACCCAATGAACTCGGCATACAGGGGTGGCCACATCGGGTTTCAAAGATTAAGGGTTAATAAATCAGAATTTGTGAAAAGAACTCCGTTTCTTTGCTTTCTGTGAAAATCCTATTTTTAATCCTTGATTCCACAAATATTCAGACAGCTATGCAAAGTATGCATCATTTTTCTAGGCCTGAAGTATGCCCTTTGGCCTTGGTTTACATTACCAAGCACATGCTTACAGCTTTAGGTTTATAGAAGTAATTGGCAAAATTCTGACAGATTTCTGTGTTAGAGCATGCGCACATTGGATCCCAATAATGATATAAGAAGGATTATTAGTGATGGGAAATAACTTGCTTGATTATTGATTATTCTTGGATCTTTTAAAATCACAAAAAAATCTGAAAAATTTTATAAATTTCAAAACTGCTTATTTTCAACATTTGATTTTCTTGCACTTTAACATATTTTACACTTAGAGAAAATATATACAAAACAAAGAGCCAAATGATAGTGTATTTTTTTGTTGGCTTTTTTCATCCTTCAAAGTTCATTAAAAGCAAACATTAACAGAAACCGTTCTGAAATGTTGAAAGTTTTTCAAAAAATTTAAAAAACGACCCAAATTATGTCCCATTTGTATAAATTCTATAAACTCTCCCAGCCCTAGTTAAGCCAGCAACACTAAGCTGCGGATCTGGAAACTCATTTTATCTTAAGATAAATTGTCTGAACTGCCAGGGTTGGCCATTAGTAAAATACTATATATCTCAGGGGTGTATATATTTCTCTGTAACAGCATTTAAAGGAATTGAGTCTTAGCCACAAACTCAAATTTTCTAATCCCTATATCTTTGCAACCTGGGGTTGTAAACCTGTGATATTTTAAACTTGGATTATTTTTTTAACATAATTCATTGTTTGAAATATCCAAGGTCACGACGTCGGGTTTCAAAGACATTCTGAGTTTGTGACAAAGACTCAATTTCATGAAAATTAAATTATCATTTTGTGAAATTATAAAAAATACCCCCCTCCCTCAAGATACACTAGATAAAAAATGTGATAATTCTTTGTTTTAATTCCTAATTAAGCCCCGTTCTTTGTCAAACTAAGACTTGCTTGAATTAAAAAAAGAATGTAAACTAGTTCTCAGAAATATTTTCCCCTGTGCTATCTATAGTTTACATTTTTGTTAATCTACTTTAGTATGACTGCTTTTCAAGGCGCTTAGCGGCCATCTTCTATTTCAACTTATAACTGTGACCATATTTTTAAGCACTTTCTCTATGTACAATAAACAGTAAAAAAAATCTGAAAGGAACTGAGTTTTAACCACAATATCAGATTTTCTAAAACGTATATCTTTTAAACTCAATGTCCTAAATCTTTGATATTTCAAACTATGAATTAATCAATATAAATTTGAAATATCAAAGATTTAAAGTGGCACAGATGTAGATATCAGAAAATTTGAGTATTTTGCATTAACTTAGTTCCTTTAATAGTAATTTTTCGTTGATTTTCAGATTTTACAAAAATATAATTTTTTTGTAATTAAGAGCATCCTTAAGGCTTCCGCAGGGGCCATGTGAGTTGCCTCAAAAATTTTTAGCCCGATTGGTTTAGCCGTTATGAATTCTGATTACTTTAGAACTCTATATACAATTTAAAATTTTCCTCATTCAGAGCTCATAGAAGTATAGATAAAGTATACATATAATGGATAATGTAAAAATAATACAATCAATATTACCTTGATTACAAATTACTGATGATTACAAAAAAGTGGAGAAAATATATAATTCTATTGCGTGCGATGAATTGAACTTTTTTCCAGTTAGGCAAATGCTTTAAATATGAAATTATTAAAGTTAATCCAAATTGCAACATGCAAAAACCCCATTAAAGGGACTGTTAGCGTATTTTCAAGTTAACCTCCATGCAAAAACCCCATTAAAGGGACTGTTAGCGTATTTTCAAGTTAACCTCCATGCAAAAACCCCATTAAAGGGACTGTTAGCGTATTTTCAAGTTAACCTCCATGCTAAGATGGCAATATCCTATTTACAACTGTTCCCTTAAAAACTTTGTCTGATCAAATATGAATTAGATATTAATGTTTTTTTCTTTCATTACCAGTGTCTCTGCGATCACGTGACTGGTGCATTGTTTTCTGAAAGGAAATCGGGCATTGACATCTTTGCATGGAGAGCGGAGGGTCACTTAAAAATACGCTTACAGTCCCTTGAAGGGAAAAATGATAAACATTCTTAAATAATTGCGTAAACAAGGAAATTTGCTACTGAGAAATGTAATTTTTTTAATTAACCATAAATATTAGATTGCGCTAACAACAGCGGAAATTTTCATGGAAATAACGGACAAAAAAGTTAAATAGTAAAAGCTAGATATATTTTTTTTTTTTTAACAAACTGCTTTGTTTATGAACAAATATCGGTCATCAGATATTCTTTATTATCATTGGTCATTCAAGGAGCAAAACTTCACTTTTAATTACAAACACTGGTTCACACATAATCTTGGTTATCTATTTGGGTTTTCCAATCATAATAAACGAAAACACATGATTTTTATCTGTTTAAAGAGTTGTTCAAAGAATGTTGACTACTGAGTGTCGTCATGAGGCGTGAAACATTATGTATAGTATAATTCTTTTTCATAAAATGTAAAGTTTAAAAACTAAAATAATGTTTAATTATATAAATATAGAAAATTTTAAGGCACTCCGAGTCCTCCCTTTCCTTCAGTTTTCCTGGATGTGTTTGTTTAAATTAGAGCATTTTTAAAATTTATACATGTCAACCTTTTCAGACAAGAATTTTTAGATTTGAATACCATAAACCCTACCTAGTTGGGATAATGTGAGTTGCCACAAAAAATTAGGGCCCGATCGGTTCAGTCTTTTTGGTTATTAATAATTGGATACAAACAGACAAACAACAGAAAAGTCAAGTATGTATACAGATATATTATATATTTATAAAGAATTGTCAATATATAACTCCGCCTGACATTTGTTGGATATAACAATAACTTTAAAAGTATTGGTCTGAGGCTGTTCAGATTTTTGAATTTTCTAACTAACACATGCCCCTCAAGGCTTAAAGTGGGACTTTTATACCAGTTCTCAGGCATACTGCGTGAATATCCTATTTTCATCTATACCTCAGGCATACTGCGTGAATGTCCTATTTTTATCTATACCTCAGGCATACTACAGTGAATGTCCTAATTTTACCTTTCCCTCAGGCATACTGTGAGAATGTCCTATTTTTACCTTTACCAGACTTAATCTATATTTAGTCCTACGTCGAGTTCCGCATTTTATAGTTCTATTTAAAATTCAGTGATGGTGATGGACCAAACCTCTGTAGAGTAAAAAAGTAGATTTTAGTTCCACATTTATTGAAAATATATTTCGGTCTGGGTTGACCCTCGTCAGTTCTAANTGCTGCAAATTCGTACAATTCTGTATGCAAGTGAATAAGGTATGTTGTTAGAAATATGTGCTGGGTGGCAAGATGATGGAAGTAGGTACATGCATCTATCTGTGGGTTTTCTGTAGAGATCTGTTGTGATTTTTCCATCTTCAATGTACAGTTTTGTGTCAAGAAATGGAATACTTTTTGTTCTAATTGAAAAGCTTTCAGCAAAAGAAACCAGATTGCACAATATTTTCAAAGAAATTTTGCACTGGTGCATTTACAGCGAATTTGCATATTTTTATTTTTCCTTGAATACACCTTTTTTTTAATTCATCGTATTTCGCGCACTTTTTGTTTTTGAACATTTTTAGCTGAATAACTTGAATTGCAATAAATATTTGCATATGTGCAAACAAAATTGTAGAGTGTTTTGAGTTTAGAAGACGTGAGCCTGAATAGGGTTAAGGGTTGATAAAAATATAATTTTTCATAAAACTTCGACGATTCGACGAAACACAAAGTTTTTTAGGCTATCAATTAAAAATTTCTTCTAAATTCATTCTTTGATCATACATCTTCATTTTCTAGTGGAATTTTCTAATTCTTCATATATACTGTATACATGGAAAATTTCTTTTAACCAAGAATTTTATCTTGAGGAAATTGTATGTAATTTATTCTATGCAGTTGTTATCATAAACATTGCTACAATGGATTAAATGGACTTCATTATATTGCTTTAAAATTCCTCAAAAGAATGAAGTTTAGAATTTTTATGAATAATCCATTCTAAAATTTCTTTTACAAACTTTTCATTAAACTTTATTTGGATATCTTAAAAGTAATAATAATATAAATTTAATTTAAGAAAATCATTATACTACTTTTGCATATTCTTATTATGTCTGCAGAGTGGGAACAAAGAAATTAAGTCTTTGCCACAAACTCCATTTCTTTAAATCATTAAATTGGCTTTATTGGCTTGAGCAAACACTGCAAGACAATTTGCGATAAAGAGACTGAGTTCTCACATATAAGTTCTATATCTTTGCAACATGTTTGTTGATATTTCAAACTTTGATTATTTAATCTAACACAATTCATGGTTTAAAATTTCAAACGCATAAGTGTCTGTTAAAAATATTTACTTTGCAACAACATCAAATACACTTCAGTAGCGCTATAATGTCCAAGGGCGTAACAGCCCCCCCCCCAAGAGACCTGTAAATATTTTTGATCATTTGGCATTTGATAATATGATATTTGTGTAATGTAATTGGACTGTATATGTACCTTTAAAGTATCCAAGAAGCCAAATGTTTTGAATTTACAGTTCATATTCCCCCCCCCCCCTAGGAGCTCCTAGGGGAGGGCAAAAAAATAATTTTGCGCTTCGCGCATATTTGGCCTCCCCTAGAGTTATTTCTGTGTACGTCCATGAAAATGTCGTCTTCTTATTCCATTGTTTTCTGTTTATCACTCTATCCATACTAAGTTGAACCACTTTTCTGAAACTTGAACCAGCGCACAAGATAACGCTAAAGTTTTTTTTGTGCATAAGTAAGATTTTATAAAAAAAATTGTTGATTTAATAAAAAAATTGAGATAATTTTTTAAATGATAATTTTGCATTACAAGATTTATCTGAACATGAAAACCTATAATCAAGGTAATAATAAGGTTTGGTTGTTTCTTTCATTTTAAACATTTTATTTTATAGTATTGTAAGAACCACAACCACGCTTTTCTAATTTCTTTTTATTGTTTATGTCGAATATAATAAAAAACAATATCTGCCAATAAAGACACATACATTATTTTTTCTTGCGTTGGTGCCAAAAGGTGGGTTGGAAATGATCAATGCATAAACCCTTCAAACCTAAAAAAAGGTCCATAACTTGATTTATGAATTAGCTAATGATCGGAAATTTTAACATAAAAAGCCCTCAGAAATTTAGATTTTTTGTTATTTATATATATATCTCTATTAAGCCTTTTTCTAGAGGAGGGGGGGGGGGGGTCAATATGTATATTTATACCCCCCCCCCCTTCCCTGTTTAGGCTAAACTATATTTTTCGTAACAAACTGAACAATGTTCAAATCAGCATAATACCAGAAAAACGCAAGAAAGAAATTTGAACATCGGAAAAGTAATTAAGTATATGTAGAAGTATACAATATTCAAGTCTTTGTCAAAGAACAGTAACAAACTTTAATCCTACTCCTGCTGGGTTAGTCATGGGGGGGGGGTCACAAATTCTTGGCTTTTAAGTGGAACGCTTTTTAAAAATAGCTTTTCATGAAAATAAAAAATTTCAACTTTGTTTAACAAATTCTTTGAATAATTACTTGACAAAGTTTCCTGTTATTAAAATATTCTTATTAACCCCTAGATTATGTAACTAAGCAAAACTGATATTACTCAGACGCGTGCATCCATACTATGGAAATATCTGTTATCCTATACATAGAGTGGTAATGGGCGTACTCAGGAAGTTGTTCAGGGGGGGGGCTTGATTGAAATAAAAAATTGAGCTCCATAACCCCCCCCCCCTCTGTGTACGCCATGTATTATAATGAACAGCTTCTCTTGTTGTAGGTCGAGTTCACCCATCAACCCTGCATGGAAGGGATGAGGCAACGCGCCGTGTTCCTCCACGTCGTGGTTCCAGGACAGGAGGAGGGAGCACAGGAAACCGAATCTAAAAATATAAACTCTTTAAACTTGACATATTTTAGCCAGAATAATGGAACCTAGTAAAGGAACTAAGTTTTAGCCAAAGAGAATAGAATATATATTAGAGTGGAATTTACTAGAAAAAAGTGTAAAACAGCCATTTTGTTGTACTGTTTCCATACTGCAGGTATACTTCACATATTTATGCTATATAACCTTTTGGGCCCTGGAATATCATTTTATAGAAAATCTAAAACTAATGTTAAAAGAAAACCAAATTATGAAATAGGCTGGTTTCATAATTGACCAATGATCATTTCACATAGACTCTATGCCTTTCACTTTAAAAACGATGATTTTTCGTTATAACTATAAATCAAATGATGTTTTTTATTCACCTAATTCATTATAAAGTTTATTTAACAGCTTTAAAAGATTCGAAATTGAAATGGATATTCTAGGGAACATACTTGTTAAAATAAATTCGAAATATAAGGAAGACGATTTTTCCGACTCAAATGTGTACTCAAATCCATTTCCTCCATGTAGTGCCCACATGTCAAATCTACGCTCACCTTAGCTCCCGCTTCACCCGGCAGTCAGCTATAAACACTCAAGGTATTCACAACTCCGTCTCTACCCTGGCTCCTCCATGATGATGATGCAGATACTCAGCGCAACGCACCTGTTGATCTGCCCCACCAACATGAAGCTCTACATCACCCCCCATGACTCCTTCAGGCTGATGATGCAGATACTGAACTAACAGCAGGCGTGCTTATACTTCTGATCTCCCTATTAACTTCTTGAGAAGCTTACTTAGGAAACTTGTGCACGGCTCTGACCGAAGTTTCCGCTATCTCGAGTTGCCTTGCCTTCGATCCATTGATAAGCCCTGTTGTCCCAGTTCCCGGATCTGCTCCACCAACATGAAGCTCTACAACACTTCCATGAAGCACCATCTAATGTCCATCATTTATTCCTTTTTGTTAATTTCTAAATCAACCAATTTTAACTCCGCCTTAAATGCAAATATTTCAAAACACTCGTTTTTTTTAAATAAATGTTAGAAATATCCATTTTAGATCTCTTTATTTTATTATAGTGACTTTTCAAGTCAACAATACTGTATTAATGTACTCTACTTCATATACTTTGTGAACATTTACATGATTTGTACACTTTGAACTCCCTTTCAGGCTGAAAGGGACTGACAAAATTCATACCGAGGGATTGTCTAAATTCCACTCTAATATATATTGTATTCTCTTTGGTTTTAGCCTCGAACTCTGATTTTAATCCTAAAAACTTTGCAACACAAAGTCATCTAGACCTTAGATATTTGAAACATATATAAATTTTGTTAGATTAAATTTAAGTTTGATATATCAAATGTTTAAACCATCAGGTTGCAAAGAAATTGGGATTAGAAAATGTTAGTTTGTGACAAAGGCTCAATTGCTATAAGGAAGACAGTTTTACAATTCTAAAGCAAATATTTCTATAGTAGTAATAATTCGTGATTAAATTAAACTATTCAAAATAATTACTTTGTCTAACTGTCGTCTTTGAATTCCACAGTTTTTTGGGTCTCACTGTAAATAATCGATAATTTTTGTTGGGTCTTAGATAATAAAAACAAAAAGTAGTTTAACTTGGTATGGATAGTTGAATTATTTATTATGTTAAAACAATATGAGCTGGTGTTTATAAAGTAAATCTCAACCCCAAGTCTTTAAGTAAAGCCCAACACCTAACAAAAGGAAGATTTACTCAATGTAGAATACGAAAACTCAAACTTATCGTTTAAGGCAAAACGGAACGGTACGCCCAATGAATCACCCCTTTCTAGCAAAGGTTATGTGCGTTTCATTACATAGCCTGTTTATTTCCGAGATTTAAAAAAGATTAATAGTTGTTACAAAATATAGAATCTATCAATTAAAGACCAAGATAACGATGCTGGGTTTAGCTGAAACTTGAGTCTTCATTTGGATCATCTTTACTTGTGTCTAAATAGTCGTGTTCTACAGCTTAGGGTAGCTTTTAGAATCTCAGTTCTGGAACGTGCTTTAGCGAGTGTCACAAAAAAGATGTTAGGTACTTTCCCAAAGAATTCTTCCCAAATGGCAATTTCCCAAGGGTATTTTCCCAAGTGGCAACTTCCCAAATGTGCAATTTCACTAGAGGCAACGGAGATTACAACTTTAGAAGTTTTAATCTCTGATTGTCTTTTTGTCTGTTTGTTTGTCCGATCGTAATTCAAGAACCCCTGGACCGATTTGCCTCAAATATTTGCTGGGGAGACACAAGTGACCCACAGAAATGTTTTAGCTTGATTTTAAGAATGTAAGTTGAGTGGGTCGACTTTAATACCGAAAATTGAACTTCCCGGTAAAATACTACAGGGCTGGGTTCTCTAGCTAGTATATCATAACATAAAAATAGAAGAATTTTCATTACAAACTCTCATTTTATAATTATTCTTTGATGTTTCGGATAAAAGGGGTTTGACTAATATTCATTGAATAGTGGCTGAATATTTTTAAATCTATTTTTGCAGAAAACATATGAATTAAATATCAAAGTGCATTAAAGACTCAATTCTTTATGAAAGCAATAAACTGAAACTCTAATCACAGTTTCAGGTTGGTATTTTTAGCCAAATTGGTGTACTTAGAGAGCTTAATTTCTCTTTTCTTGATAACTAGTAATCTGATAAGAAGGGTGCATTTAATCTCCCAGTTTCCAAGAAATGAAAATTAGGAAACGTTATTAATAAATTTAATGTAAACATTATGTTTCTATGGCTATAGTTTGAGTTGGGGTTTGTTTACAAAATGGATGCATTACATTTTCTGTAAACAAAATATTTTCTTGCTTTATATACAGGGTTACCTAGACAGGATGAGACTTCAGAGACGACCTTTTCTTTATATTAATGATTTCCTGCAACTGTAAACTTGTTGCTTTCATGTAAAATCATTAAACAAGCCAATAAAATACTGAAGTTAAGACAAAATATTTAATTAAAACTCGGGATCTTCACATTTTAAGAGTTTTCGGTCGTCTTTGCAGTCTCGTCCTTTGTGGGTAACCCTGTTCACTAATGTTGTGCTCGCATTATTAAATTACGAGTATGTTGTTCGAAATTATTAAAATATTGATATCTCACAAATGTTTAAATTCCTTGTTTTCATTATTTCGATCAGATAATTTTAGAAATGTTTTGTTTTTAACTGAGAACGTATGTAAGTGTTATCCTTATTTCTGAATTCCTTGGGGTTTGTTAATCCTTGGCACATTTCTACCCTAGACATTCTCCAAGAAATGTTCCCAGATTCTTTATTATATTATATCAAGGCTCAAGGATCCTAATCTTATTTCATATATTTTATTTCCTTCCAACTAAAGCAGACATTTATATATTTTATCGCTCATTTCGCAAATTTTTTATGTCATTTTCAGGAATAAAATAGATTGGAACTTTTCACCTCCATATGTTTTTTTAAATAAATGGATTTTCAAATTTTCATTGAAATATCGAAATTTTAGTTTTTAAAATTTCGCTTGAGGTTTAGGTTATTTTCTGCTTATAAAACTTTTTATGCTTCTTGACTTGACATAATTTTTAAAGATTTTCAATGAAAGAGCTACAAAGTATACACACGCAACCCTTTTTATATCGTAGGTAAATATTTCCCCTGATCTATTCTGGACTGTCCCCTTACAAAATTAGATTCCATCAAGGTACTATAATGCATTAGTTACCTTGGATTCCATGAACTGATATGTATGGTTTCTCAATATCGAAGTTGGTTAACTGTGAACATTGCTAAACTTGGTATAAGCTCTGATTCCTAGTATAAGTTTAAGATTTGGTTTGGTCAGGATTTGAACCCAGAGTTTCACTTCCCATCCATGCAGGTTAGTTGAACACATATAATCGTTGTCATATATATCAATACAGTCAAAACGACTTTCTTTTCTAATTCTGCAATGACTACCAACCTTTCTAACAGGAGACACACATAAACATGGAAATAAAGAAAATATGTCAATTTACAGCTTCTCTTTGTTTACTTGTAAACTTGCAATTTAAAACATGCTTGTGAGGGATCAAAGCAATATTAATATTATACCAGTATTGATATAATTGACTACCACTGAAACTTTACTTTACTGAAAGAGATTACTGCCCATTAGAAACTATGCGCGAATTCCCCAATTTTTTAAACAAGGAACAAACTAAGCCTAATGGTCTTAGTAGGGTCAGAATAAACATATTTAATAAATAAACGATATTTTAAAAAATTTGATGTAAATGTATTATATTATTAAAGTTCCAAATACTACAGAAGTGGATGGATGCGTTTATAGGGTTAAATTAAATTTGACTTGAAGATGCAGTTAAGGGGGGGGGGGCGAATATCCCCATCCCCCCCTCCCATCAACAGCCTCATTCTCTTATCAAATATAAAGTTTGAACTGCGTCTATTCAGCAGAATTATTATCTTTGTTTGTCTGGAACTACAAGAAATGTTTTACTTTTCTTGGCATTTTGAGCATTTCTGTTCAAGTTGGTTTGCTGAATCCACAATTTATTTACACATATAAACCAAATATTGATATTTCAGGCCTCCTGATTTTACAAGAAAAGTTAGATCTCAAGATTTTATTCAATATGCAAATATTTTTGAAAATAAAAAAATAAAATATTTGATTCGTGTATTTTGCTACGGCCCCATAAAGACGTAGGTTTTAGCCTTAAAGGGAGTGACCGGCTATGTAAGGTAGTTGAACTGAGTATACAGTGTTGTGGAAAGCTTCTTTCGGATTCATTTGAGACATATTAAACTCTTTAAAGATCTATAAATCCTGAGTTTAAGCACAAATTCGACGTTCAAAACTCCTACTTTGGGGGTGGATACGTTTTCAGAATTTTTTTTTTTTTTTTAATTATTGAATAACGACAACGAAAAATAATGTAAAAATTATACAATAGTCTAATTGGATGGTTAGGAACATATTTCTCAAAAGAAATTTGTCAATTAATTAACGATCAAATTGATTATTTAGTTTTTATTATTATATTGAATTTCTAATTTTCTTTGAATTTATTCGCAGATTTCTTCAAGTTCTTCAAATGTCGTCTTTTCAATAACAATTCTAGAAAATCTGCGAAAATCTTTGTGAATAAAGAGGAACCAGAATTATGAGATAATAGAAACTAATAATTGAATAAGATTACTTATTTTCAATGATAAGATTAATTTTTATTTTCTCAACATGTACACATGACGTCTGTAGTTTATTGTAGAACATTTTTACATTTTATGTCGACGTTATTTAATGATTTAAAAAAAACTAATTCTGAAAACGTTTCCACCCCCAAAGTAGGAGTTTTGAACATCGAATTTGCGCTCAAACTCAGGATTTACAGATCTTTAAAACGTTTAATATGCTCAAAAGAATCCGAAAGAAGCTTTCAACAACACATGCATACTCAGTTCAACTATCTTACATTGCCGGTCACTCCCTTTAAACTCTAAAAAAATACATATCACAATTTGGGTTTGGTTAATGTTCTTTCTTTTCGTTTTAACAAATAACTTTTAAATGCATCTTACAGTTAAATAGTAATGTATTCTTATTGTAAAGGTATCTTGCTTTCTAACCCTATTCCAAATGACGTATTGCAAAACTTGTGCAATCTGAGCTGAAAACTTTTATATTGTAAATCTCGGGATCTTGTGTAGATCTATGGATTAATCTCGGAATCAAGACCTAATCTCCATCTTGTGTAGATCTATGGATTAATCTCGGGATCAAGACCTGATCTCCATCTTGTGTAGATCTATGGATTAATCTTGGGATCAAGACTTGATCTCCATCTTGTGTAGATCTATGGAATAATCTCGGGATCAAGACTTGATCTCCATCTTGTGCAGATCTATGGATTAATCTAATTCCTTTTAATATCCAGTGATAGTTATAACCCGCAGGGACTTAATTAAGGAATCAAGCATTGATCCTTATTTTTTAAAGTCCCCATCCTGGATTTCAAGATTATCAATATTTACACAAACGTTTTTTGTCTGTTGGCTTTCCAGATAGCTCTAAAATGTTGAAATCCAATATTAGGAAAAGGGTTCAAATAAGATTCAGTCTGGTATTGATAAAACAATTCATTTGGTCAATTTGCCTGAGACTCAGGCCCACCATCAAGTAAAGGACCTGTGTAAGTTAGAAATAAAAGTTGAACAATTCAGAACTATGCTTTTAAGTTTTTGTCCGAAAATCGTTAGGAATAGGGTTAACTAAACCCGAACACCAATTTATCCAGCCAAATGAGGAGTAATAAGATTGTTTTGAAAACTGTCAACAGTGCGCTCCTCAACGGAATTTTCCAAAATATTAATATTCTATGAGCTAAGACCTGAAAATAAATGATTGAATAGCTAGAACATAAACAGTATGCAGCAAAAGAGAAACGAAGAGCTTACAGACGTGTAAAAAAAGAAAATGAATATTAATAATCATATATGTCTATACCTACTAAACATCTTTTTTTTAAATCAATTCAAAATAAATACTCCAGGAGCTAGGAGAGACTCTCGTTGATGTTCTTGACCAGCTGAACTTGAAATATGTTCTGGGACTTGGAGAGGGAGCCGGAGCTAATATCATCACCAGGTATAGCTCATGTACCAGAACTAGGTCACTAATATAATCACTAGGTATAGTTCATGTACCAGAACTAGGTCTCTAATATCATCACTAGGTATAGTTCATGTACCAGAACTAGGTCTCTAATATCATCACTAGGTATAGTTTATGTATCAGAACTAGGTCTCTAATATCATCACTAGGTATAGTTCATGTACCAGAGCTAGGTCTGGCCAACGTTCCGTTATCAAAACTGAAGTTTTTGAAAATTAACGGAAGAGTCCGTGAACAATTTTTAAATGGTTAACTAACGTAACGGAAATAGCTGTTTTCAAAAGAAAAATTAAAAGTTGAAAAAAGAGCGAACGGATGTGTTTCAAAAGAACGGCGACATTTGTTCTTTTGTCTGCTTCAAATTGAATGAAACTAAAATAAAAATAATATTTCATGTCGTATTCTGTTTTTCTCAACTTAACTGTTAAATAATATAATTTATGCATTTTGAAGTTTTTCTTCGTGTTTTTTAATATTGTCTTATTTTCCCCCCATTTATTTTTACATGAAACAATCTTTAAATGAGCTTTTAAAGAAATTTTGTCAAATGTGACACAACAGTTTCAACCCGTTTTATTTAAGAAGGACATTTAACAAAACAGCATGAAATAGAAGAAACACTACTTTCTTTAATTAAACACAGCGGTACTTAATGTATGTACGTACCACTAACATCTCTCCAGGCACTTAAAATACACCGGAGTTTGCAATGGAATTCTATTTGCCGCAATTGCAGCCGTAGTACATTTCCGAGCCGGGTCAACCTTTCCGGTACAACTCAATAGGGCTAGCCAGTGCAACAAGGTTGACGCGGTCAGACTTTAGGTTGAATTTACTTATATTAAAGGGTCAGAAGTGCGTGGCCGCCTAATGTGCGTGATAATATATTTTTTTATGAGCTATTTAGAAATATTATTAAAAAATTATTATCTTGATCTATTTATTTCTGGTTAAACTTTGTTGTAATACTCTAAGAGTTCCTTTCTTCAATTTGTTTGAATATCATGTTTATCGGAGTCCCCTGCATATTTGTTGTCGCTAAGGAACAAGATTCTGACGATGAACAGATAGACAAGGTATAACCCAAAAATCAAAATCGATAATGCAGAAAACTCTTTATTTCCTAAAAAAATAATGAAATGAATAATGATAAATAATTATTACAGGGTTTACAAATTTATAATGAAAAACTTAATGTTGATGGTTGACAATAATATATATTAACTAAAAGTCTACGTGAGAAACCCAACATCTCTCCCAGCCCTGTCGATCGAGAACCAGCCAACTTTCAAACTATCCCTCTGCTCAGTAGGGGACATCAAACAGAGATATATTTTTTCATGTGATTTTCATTTTAATGTTTTTGTAAAGGTATAAAGGGTACATCGGACATGTCACTTGTTTGAGGGTGTTGGGTTCTCCTTAAAAAATAATTATATTTTTTTTCAAGATATCCGTTTTCTATAAAATCTAATTGTTTCCCTGTTATGTATATTATACTAATTTATTCTGAAATATTTCATATATGATTATCCTGCTTTAGGTCAAAAGCCTTTTCTTCATAATAAAAATTCTCATAATATATTTCTTTTGTTCCCCCCTATTGTCCATATATTGGCCTCAATCCAAGCCGTAGTTCTTATTTTCTGCGCAGATTGTATAAATGTTTACAGATCCTCCTAGTGGACTGATTACACATGTTTACAGAACCACTCAGTGGACTGATGATACATGTTTACAGAACCACTCAGTGGACTGATTACACATGTTTACAGAACCACTCAGTGGACTGATTACACATGTTTACAGAACCACTCAGTGAACTGATGATACATGTTTACAGAACCACTCAGTGGACTGATTATACATGTTTACAGAACCACTCAAGGGACTGATGATACATGTTTACAGAACCACTTAGCAAAGCAAAGCTGAAACTTGTTCAAGTTGGTTGCAAAGCTGAAACTTGTTCAAGCTGGTTGCAAAGCTGAAACTTGTTCAAGCTGGTTGCAAGGAGGTTAAAAACATTGCATTTTGATAATTCACATAATATTTTCCTTTCAGAATATTTCATTAATTATTTATGTGAAAGATGGATCCCATGTCAGGCCGTCTTGTGTTTACATTACCGCCCAGTGACAGTACACTACAGTGCAAAAGATGCGTTCTGAAATAACTTTCCTTGCATTAAATCCTTGCTCTCTGATATTTTTATACTCTCTGATATTTTTATATTCTCTGATAACTATATACTCTCTGTGCAGTAAGTAAGAAACTGTCCACATCTGCAACTCTCAACTCTTTTCTTATATTTTCTTTCACAGACTCTTCCTTTTGGTCAACTTACTTCCTGTATTTATTCCTCACATCGGAGATTTTTTCCCAAATTTGCCTTCAATTTGCCTCCAATTTACCATCAATTTGCCTCCAATTTACCTTCAATTTGCCTCCAATTTACCGTCAATTTCCCTCCAATTTACCTTCAATTTGCATCCAATTTACCTACAATTTACATCCAATTTACCTTAAATTTGCATCCAATTTACCTTCAATTTGCCTCCAATTTGCCTTCAATTTGCATCCAATTTACCTTCAATTTGCATCCAATTTGCCTTCAATTTGCCTCCAATTTACCTTCAATTTGCATCCAATTTACCATCAATTTCCCTCCAATTTACCATCAATTTACATCCAATTTACCATAAATTTGCCTCCAAATTTTCCTTTAATTTGCTTGTTTTAAAGTTTTTGGATGATTTGCTTCTAACAAAATTCGATTTTTGAAAATTTTTAAAATCAACCAATTATTTTTATAAAAACCGCGAAATTTTTAATTGTTTTTGTTTTACAATAGATACAAAGAGAAAATGTTCACAATTAGAATTGAAGATAGGCGCGAAGAGCCCTAAAAGTCTAGCATTTATATATTTATATATTTATATATCCAGATATATTGCATCGTATGCCAGTGCTAAAGTTAATGAACATAGTTGGCTCACACTCTTTAAATTAAGCTTTCTTGGATCCGAGGGAGGAATGCCAGCCACACCAATTCCTTTCTTGGATCCGAGGGAGGAATGCCAGCCACACCAATTCCTTCCCCTCGTTCTTGACAACTTTTAGAAACAATATTTTGGTAAATGTATAAAATCATTAAATTGAATAGAAATTAAAGGACGGTCACTTTTGAGGTGGCTCGGAGAAGAAAAGAAAATAAGATTTCCTCATTACTTAAACTACTATAAGTGTTAAACTACTTCCTTTCTACACTATATTTATTTGTTTTAAACTAGTCTTTAGCTAGAGCTGTCGGATTTTTAGATGATTCATTTTTATGAATAAATGAATAAATGAATAAATGAATAATGAATAAATGAAAGGATGCATAAATGAATAAATGAATAAATGAATAAATGAATAAATGAATAAATGAATAAATGAATAAATGAATAATGAATAAATGAATAAATGAATAAATGAATAAATGAATAAATGAATAAATGAATAATGAATAAATGAATAAATGAATAGGTTTGGAATGAAGCATCCAACCAGATGCCTGGGAATTGTTCTGATACATCCGACTTCAACTACAGCTGGTATGTTTTAAATGTAAAATTTCAATCTCTGCTTGTCTGTATGTTTGGGTGTCCGATCATAACTCATGAACCCTAGACCTATTGGTCTCAAATTTTGTCGGAAAACTCGGGAGAACCAGGATAATATTCTTAGCTTTGTTTTGAGAGTCTTTAATGGCAAACATCAGTTTCCTGGTTAAATTACCCAAGTGCGGGTAAACGGCGGGAGTACCTGTAAGTAACCTGGGCAACGCTGGGTTCCTAAGCTAGTTTTTTATAAATATAATTCAAAATTTTATTCTAAGTGTGCACTATCGTTCAAAGAGATTGTAATATTTGAAAGAGCAAATGTTGAATCCAATAAATGGGAGCACAGTAACTTTAGGTGATCCTCCATTTTTAGAACAGTATGTCCGATTCACAAAAGTACTCTTGCAAACCTTTGTCTGATCAAGGATATTTAACTAGCAGAAAATTGATTTTTTTTCTATTAAGTTTTGTCTGTAGAGGTTTATTAGCAATATAGCAATCTGAGTCCGAATTTAATTAATTTAACCAGCGTCGCAAATTCGCCAAAAACCGGTTTTGATTGGGCGCCGGCTTAAATCTTGAAAAATTGAATACAATTTTAAGTGGAACCAACTATATCTCAAATTTAAGCCGCGGCTCAAAATCTTTAAATTCGGCCTCTGTTAGTATTTAACGCTTTCTAAGATAGAAAACCGAGGATTTCTTTCAAATTGTCCGTTCGGATACAGAGATGTAAAGGGCATTGTGAATGTCACTTTTAAAATGGAGAATCACTAAAAATACCGAGAACAGTCACTTTAATATTTGTTTGATGTTTCAGGAGTGATGGAACACTTCAAAGACAAGATTATTGCCTGGAAGCTGACAACAGTTGGACATAATCCAACAGCTGAGGAGTATCTAGGGATTATATATATATATATATAACTGTAGGCTAATACTATTCCACGGGCAACACCGGGCACTTTTGCTAGAATAAAATACAGCTAATCATTAGATGGTTTTAGCACAAATTAGACATTACATTACACATTTTTTGGGTATCAAAATAAAAATGGTATCTGAAAATACATTTTAAAAATCTTTTGGAACGTGTAGTCCTGCAAACCACAACACTTGGCTTTTTCCCATCTTAGAGCCGTAGGAAATTTATAAACAATAGTTGTCGAATATATCAATTAAATAGAGACGACTTTAGAATTAAATTTTGATTTCTACCAGGCTTTTAAACAGCATGGATTCACATAAACATTAAAACTAGCTTTTTAGAAATCTAAACAAAAATAGAAATGTCGTTTTGATAAAAACTTGGACCAAAGTATGTAAATTTTCACCGGATGGAATTTGACGGTTTTCCGTTTTTTTCCTGGCTTGACTCAGGCGCGTAATGGGGGGGCCAGTACCACTTTGCCCCCCCCTAGACATGCACCCCCCTAGCCCCCTCCTCCCTCCCGTAGAGTCAGAGGCAGGCTCTAATTTATAAAACAGTAAACTTACATATATGGTCAGATTTTTTACTTTTCTTATCAATCGACAATGTCACAATTTGTCCATTTTATGATTATTTCTCAAATTCTTTCTTGTACCTTAATCTGATTTACAATATTTTTTTTTTCCCGGGGTTTCATTCAAAATCCATTTCAGTCTCTCAGAGCAAGATGATTGGCGCAGAGTTTTATTCAAATTTTTAAGTTTTTTGCTCTTTATAATACTAGATTTTATAATGGTATGATTGGTAATTATGGTGAGCCTTCAGGTAGATAGATTTTGAACTTTATTTTTCACTTAATATCAGTTTTTTTAGAGGGGTGCAAAAAAAATCGGGCCGCTTACGCGCGCCAAATTGCACCCCCCCCCCCCTGGGCTAAACCTCCACTACGCGCCTGGAGTGTTTTCTGTTTTTTTTTCTATTAATGATTGCTAATACTGAATAATGAGTATTAGTATTATATATCGAATAAAGATTAATTCTGACTGGAAAGCACTTTATATGTATCCCATAGTTCTGTAAACAATAATGTTATTTCCCTTTTCTTATATTTCTTTTATTCTCTCTTATTGGAGCAAATAAATCGATAGAGTTTCTTAAGGGATTCTAGTTTTCTAAATAATTGGAAAGAAGATACATTGTTAACAAGGTTAGAAATACGAACACCATTTTTTTATTTAGTATTATTTATGTATGAAATATTTTTTATTAAATTTCTTCAATCTATATAATAAAGCTCTTCGGACCAAATATTTTATATCGGCAACGCTGGGCACCTCAGCTTAAATCACGATTTAATAAATAACCATACAAATCTGAACGACGATGCCGGGTTCTCCATCTGGTTTATTAATATATATATATAAATGAAGTAATATCAACAGCTATATAATATATATATATAATAGTATTCCATAAATTCGGCCAAGGAGTGGAGGCAGCGAAAGACAAGGTTTGTTGCTTAAGAATCCATCCATTTTTTAAACATCTAATTTTAATAAAATCTTAAGTTTTCGATAATCCAAATTTTTTACCGTATATGAATTTCAACCCCCTTGCTCATATTTTTCACCGTGGTTCACATATTGTGCGTTTCACTCACTTTTAGCTTCAAACTAGGTTAAATCCTTGAAAACCACTTTAAAATCAATGTTACTGCTTGCTAGTAGAATTACTACCTTTTTAGATAATTGTTAGTGTTTTTTTCCCCAAAAAAATTCTATGTGAAACGATTTGTTTAGCAATTTTAAAGTTTAATTCATTTTCTTATTTTTTAATTTGCAAGATTGCACAAAAAGTGCGCGAGTTTTATTTTGGAAAAATGCCGCAATATATTTCATATTCCGGCAACGTTTTAGCGAGGATTAGATAAAGGTTTCATTTGTCAGGTGAAGGCAATGGAGGAGTTTAGAGAGACTCTTCACACTCAGATAAATCCAAGGTAGGATAAATTTGACCAAATAGGGGAGGGGCAGGGGGGGGGAGGGTCATGGCACTTTTTATTCTTCTGAAAATTCAGACCATAGAAAAAGTAACTTTTATTAGCTGGCCTTGAAAAAATTCAATTTGCTCATGTATTAACTCCTAACTCCAAGGCCTTGGGTCATGGCACAGGAAGTCGTCGTACCCCATCGCTCAAAGATTAAGATCCCTGTACGGTTAAGAATAAGATGGAAAATATGTGTAAGAATTTTAATTACGAAATCCCCCCCCCATAGTCATACCAATAGGGGTTAGGGTTCTCTGAAAAAGTTCAAAAATTAAAAATTTTCATATTTAAGTAAAGATTCTAATCTTGATGTCATACAAATCCAATTTATTTCTTCATATAACTCTAATGTCAAGTCACTTACAAGAAAGGCAATTTTGTGGTGTGACAGGTTGAAATCATATCTTTTTATTCTCAGGTTAAAGAAATTAATCTTAATCTTAAACTACACGGACAGAGACACGTGACAATGATACTGCAATGTCATTGGTGGGAGTTCGGTCTTGTGATAATAACGTTTCAATCAATTATATCTATATTAAAAATGAAAAATTATCACATCCAAATAATAAAAGGAGAAAACCTGAGTTTTTCAGGCTCCTCTGGGATATCATCGTTTTCAGATTTGTTGCGTATTTGCTAAATATGATCTGTTTATTATACCAAATCTATATTTATAAGTTTTGGTACAACTTTGACACAGTTTTATATCAATTTCTCGAGACAGGAACATCAGATAGAACTATTATAGGTCTCGATTAATTCCTGAAGTTCTTAGGATTCAGCCCATTTCATTTTTCCTACACAGTCCCTTTAAAGATAATGATGAAAACCAGACAAAACAAATCTTTATCAATGCAAATATAAGTATTCAGTACACTGTAAATTTAAATTATGAAAAGGTTGCAACCTTTAAAAACCTTGAGTCTGTTCAACAATTAATCATGTTGCTTGCTTTGTATTATTTCATCAGAAGTTTATATCCTCTGCATATATTACACATCTTGTTTGGCTTGTCAGAATTTAACCCTTTAAAAGCTGGGGGGTCTGAAAAATTAGACCGATAACTTTGGGTGCTAGGGAGGGTTGAAAAAAATGCCAAAAAAATGGTAAAAAAATGTAAAAAAATTTTTTTTTGTTTTTAACAAAAACATTAAAGTGTGACACATTTTTCTACATCCATATTTCAAGCTTTTCAAAAATATAGTTTTTAGATCTGTAGCGTAAGTCACAAAAAGTTATAATGCTACTTAAGATTTTTTTTACACAGACCGGACTTTTTACTGTTTTCTACCCTACTTTATGCATTTCAGAAAAATTGTTTTTACAAAAAATCCTTTATATTTCTATTTTTTAAATTTCACAAAATTTTTACAGTGATAGTGTTAATGAAAAGAGTTTGCCATGACAAACAACTAAACGCCCCCCCCCCCCCACCTGTTTAGGGTAAATGTTGTTGCTTCTTTTTTACCTGGAAAAGTAAGAAACATTTGTTGATATGAACATAGTTTCTCACTTCTTTAAGTTTAATCAAGTATTAAAGTCAAAAAAGCATTAGTATTCAAGCAATGTAAAGGTTTGAAGTTGTCTTTACACAATTGTTTTCTGTCAGTATAAGACAAAGACTGAATACAAACAAAGCGTATGGATGCAACATTCTTTCATGTTTGCCATCCTTAGAGACTCTTTCTTAACATATTTTCCAAAACTTTCTTGAGCTCCTTTGATAAAACTTTCTGTGGAAGAGAAGAAACTGTTTTGAATAGAATTGGATATATTAAGACTTTCTAACCCTATTTCTGCTGGGGGGGGGGGGAATTTGACATTTGACCCCCCCCCCTGTAGTTTTTTTTGAATAACTCAAAAAGTATTGGTCTGAGGCTGATAAACATTTTCTGGCTTTTCCTAAATACCCATAGCTCTCTCTTTAGGTCTAAAACACGGGTTTTATACTAATTGCCTGAGCCCTGAATGACTACTTTAACAAACTAAATCTTTGTTTTTTTGCCAACTTTCAGTAGTCAGGTTTTGATAATTTTAGCTTTTTGGAAAGAATATGTCATAATGGAACGGATTGCACAAGTTTTGCATAAACATTTTTGACAATTATTTGCATACAAACCGTGAAAAGAAATTTGCATTATTTTGTTTTTCTTAATTACACATCAGATTTTTTAATGGCATGGTCTAAGGCTTTTCAAAAAATGTATATTTTATTATTTTTTGGACATTTTTTATGCAAACAATTTTAGTTTATAACTGGATATTGCAAAAAAGGAAATTTTTTTCAAATTTGCAAATTATTTTGCAGATTCTAAATTTAGAGTATAAGAGCTTTCCAATGATGTAACATCTTTAACATTTGGACTTCAAACATGGGATTTAAACCTATCTACCCACCTAGAGCAGGAGCTCAAGTGTGACACCTTGCTTGTTGTTGGATCCAAGGAACAAAAGTCATCTTTGATTCATTATTAATTTCACTTGTCTCTCTTTAAAGATTTACATACTTGTTTCATTCTCGTTTTATTGAGAAATGTCAGTTAAAAATTGACAGAAAAAAAGAAAAAAGCTCGTTGTAAATTGGGCATCTAATTTTTGAATGGAGGTTCATATAAATTACATCTACATTAATTTACCATTAATTTTCTCAGAACACACTGTATTCAGGGTTTAAGTTCCCCCTGCATTCTGTAAAGTTTAATCAAATGGATATATATCAGTCTGTTAGAATTTCCCTCGAATTTAAATATCTCTGATTGAATTAAGATTTTCCATTAAAGGGTTTTACTCTGTTCTCTTAATGAAGGAACAACTTGAAATATGTTTAATACAAACCTAGGATTTCTAATAGAAAAAGAAATGTTATCTGGATTTTTTATTTTGTGGTGAACTTCCTAGATGATGTTTCAAACTGAATTCATAGTTTTAAATATCTAAGATTTACAAAGACAAAAAATCAAACAATCTTCAATATCCTTTCTTCAAACATAAATCAACAAAGATTTCTAAGTCTGTTTTGAATCTGAAAGGTATTAAATGTTTTTTTGTATCGCCAGTATCCATACCTTGCATTGTTCAACTGCATATTTCAACACAATTTTGATTTACTTAAAAATATTAAACATTTAAAAATTAGTTTTTGCAAAATCTAATTGCTTAAAAAAGCTACTTAATAAGATTCTGAACGGCATGGGAATGATATCTTTAAATTTGTCACGCATTGCTCATCAATCATAAAAAATATGACTTTTGTTCTTACAAAGTCGTCTTTCCTTCACACCACTGAGACCATGTATTCTCATTCTAATCCAACAAAAACAAGCATCCTCAGGTAATACAGCGATTTATCAAAAAGTAAAGACGACTTTTGAATTCAATTTTGATTTTATATAAAGTTTTAAACAGTTTAAATTCACAAAAAAATGCAAACAAAGAGAAGCTGTCAATTTGAAAAGCTTCTCTTTGATTACTTGTAAACTTGAAATTCGACGAAAAACTCAAATAAAAAAGTCGTCTTCATTGTATTGATATAATCGCGTAACACTGTAGCCAGCATTTGCTTTTATTATTTTACTTATCCCATATGACAAAATAAACAAATTTTCTTTGTCTTTATCACTTCATTTTCATAGATATAAATCAATTAAAATTTATCACAAAATCTGTGAGAAAAGGACGACAATCAGTCCATGTTTTTGCGGCCATTACTCAAAGAGCTACATAGTTATAACAAAAACATCAATGACAATATTAAGATTGATGATGGCGGAAATGTATTTGAATAATTGATCAATGATACTATTATGGATTAATGATGTCGGAGATGTGCTTGATTGATTGAGCAAACATAATATCAGGATTGTGATATCGGAAATGTATTTGATTGATTTATCAATAATAATAAAAAGATTCATGATGTCGAGAATGATCAATAACAATATCAGGATTAATGATGTCGAGAATGTACTTGATTGATTGAGCAAAAACAATAAAAAGATTAATGATGTCGAGAATGTTCTTGATTGATTTATCAAAAACAATATCATAGGATTGATAATGTCGGAGATGATCTTGCTTGAGTGATCAATAATAGTAATAGGATTGATGATATCGAGAAGTGCTTGATTGATTTATAAATGATAATATTAGGATTGATGATGTTGGCGATGTACTCGATGAAGCCCCTGAGAAGGTATCCCAGAGTATTCTTCTGTTTAGCCAAGGACTTGGTCTCTTCACCTCCCTGGGTCTGGGAGGAAATAGATCGGTAGGTTACATACTAGAGATGAGCATCGGTTTTTTTGAACGAACAACATTTTTTAAGAACAACTATTTTCGTGAAGTAGGGTGCCATTTTGATAAAATAAATATGGATGAACGAAAATAAAAACTTTAAGCTTGTGGCAAAAAGGGTCAATTACTTTCTTTGAAGTTAAACAAAGCTTATAAATCCGACTTTGTTTTCACTTTTAATCTAAAGCGAGGAAGTTAATCCAAAGATAAACATAAGCCACCATGTTGCAGTAAATAAACAGTATGGCGTCCATGTTGTCCAGTGTTCTAATTAAAAGTAATTTTCAATGATTCCAACTTTGAAAATATATCAAGCACTGGTTTTAATAATAACAAAATCTTCTCATCTTTTAAATAAAAGATGAAAAAAAGACGACTTACATAATTATATTATATGCCTTAAACTAGTTTTCGCTTGGCAGTTTTCTTAAAAATCTGAGATTGAAAAAATATGGCGTTATCAAATTTTCTATTCGAATTTTTAACCTTGTGTTTACAATCTCCTATCTCTACAGCTTAAGGGCAGAGAAAATAAAATATGTGAAATCTTCAATATCGGAGAAAAAGTCTATAAACATAAAATCCAGTTTTTACGGAGTTTATACAAGAGTTTGGCAAGCTTTTTATTGGGAAAACATCGGATCTTCCATTTACGATTTAGAAATTAGTATTGTAAAAACAGAACAGTCATATAATATTAATTAGTTTAAATTAATTTAATTTCGGTCTATTTTCTTCCTTTTCATTGCGGGTTTTCAAAAATTAAATTATTTTAAACTTTCATAAACAAACTCAACCTTTGGCCAATCTTAAAAAATAAATTGCAAAAATAATTCAAGTTTAAAGCTAGCTTTTTGAAAATCAATCAATAAAACAAAATAAATCCAAAATAAACCAAAAATAAAATATGAAATGCTTACAGAGGTCTGGGAGTATGATTCCACATGACCGACGACCCAGCAAGTCCATGGAACAATATGACCAGGTCAAACAATTCAAATAAATAAAAAAAATTTTGATTTTATCTATTTATCTATTCTATAATATTGACCTGGGGTGGAGAACAATCAATTTATATTTAAAAATAAAAGATAGCTTAAAAAATCAAAAACTTGTAATTTTGTTTTTCAAAAGCAAAAAAAAACATATAATTTTTCCGTGTTGTAATTAGCGCAGGAAACTAATACTATTGAATTTATCATTAATTAAATTACAAGTTTTAATTAAAACTTTGCATACACATTTTAGTATGGACATTCAGTTTAAATATTGTTTCAGCAGAACTTTATTAGCATACTTTTTAACAACTGTTAATATTGACATTGTTATAAATAGAATTACATTTATTTTGTTGGAAAGTTGTCAGCTTTTTATAATATCGAATGTGTTTTTGCAAATATGTTAGGATTTTTTTTTACAAATAACTTTGTATCGTATTTTATTTATAGTGGTTCATTTTGTTTGGGGGGGGGGGAGTAGAAGTAAATATTTCCATTTAAAGTTGTAAATCTCTTATTGGATAATGAGCTAGATAGAAAGATAGATGTTACCGCTATGCAATTTCTATTGGTTCAGAATGACAACAAACACATGACTGAACCCTGATTGGATCAGGCGCTAGTGGACTCGGCATACAAGAGTGAACTAGAAAACGGCTTGCATTAGACTGATTGAATTTAACTTTAATAAGAATAATCATTTTTTTTCACAATGGATGGGGTTGAGTACGGCGGAACGGCGGGTTTTAGGGGAAATCTAAGAAATGTAAACAGACAAAAATAATTTATGGAAATCTATTCTATTTGAAAAAAGTCTCTGAAACACTCTGAAAAGTTAATTTTCTTGATAAATCCTCGCTAATAGTAAGTTAATATTTGTTATTTAGGACTTTTGTCACTTTTTTGATAAAAATTTGATTTTAATTCTGTCAATTATTTTGCATAGCTATAATACTTTGTCATGGCTATTATCTAATTTACAGTAACTAAACTTTTAGGGCGCTTTGCGCCCATTTTCTATTTAAATTGTGAACATTTCCTCATTGTATAGCATTGTGAAACAAACACAAAAAAGTTTACTTTAAAGAAAATTTTGTTGATTTTCAAAATTTAATAAACATTGAATTTTGGTGCAGGCAAATTTTTTAATTTAATTAATTTCATTCATTATATACACTTTGCCAGTCTATCTGATTGTCTGGGTGTCTGTTCGTTTGTATCCAATAAACGTTAAAGGACTGAACCGATTTGGCCCAAATTTTGTGTGGGACCTCACATGACCCCAGGGAAGTTTTATGGCTGTTCTTAATTTACGGACATCTTAAATCACGCCCCGCCGGTGTACATTTGAATATCCGTGCTGGGCCAACCTTTGCAGTCCTACTTTGGACTGTACAGCCAATTTACAATTACGAAAGCGGCAGAGGAGTGTGAAATACGTCTTCATTTGGGTGTCTCGACAAGTCCGTGTCAAGTGCCCCCCCCTCCCAATTTTTTAGGGAATGGGGAGGGAGGGGAAACCTGTAGGCTGTGTATGCCCTTGACCTGACATGGACTTGTGAACACCTCATCAGGGCGCCATCTAAAAAAGATTTACATGATTAATCAAAAAACTTCATTGAAAAAAACATTAATAAAAACTGCAACATTCTGTACACTGTAAACTATACATGAGGTAAACTGTACATAGGTAAAGTAAAGTATACCATGTTACCATGTACTGTACGGACACTGTAAAACAAATATCTAAAATTTTAATGAAATGTTTTACTTACATTTCTCAGGGAGCTTTATGGTAACGTTGCTCGTTCTGTGAGGTTCTGGAAAATATATATTGTTATTTGCAATTTTTTATTAGTATTGATTTTAAAATATATACATATATTTTATATTATATTATAATATAATTTTAAGCCATAATAAATTATTATATTAATTTTCATACAATACAAATATTACTTACCCAAAACCGCGTAGTTCAGCTAAAGGCCCACGAATCTCTCCTTGATGGTGTCTAAAAAATATTATGTTTAAAATTTATTTTTCAAAATTAAAAATCAAAAAAATATTGATTATTTTTAAGTTTAAAAATCACAATTTTACCTAGGATTAAATTCACGGTTCCAGTGATAATTTTCCCTTTTTCTTAACAATAATAAATATTAATTAAAGATCATAATTATTGATTAATTATTGCTAGAATAAATATTTAATTTTATAAAAAAAAGTATACTAACCGAAGAAGATGAAGATCTCGATCTTCATATTGCTGGCTCAAGTTACTTGGCATGTAGTTTCTAAAATATAAAATTTATCAAATTGATTCATATTAATTATAAACCTTATTTTAATTTTAAAAAAAACGTTTCTTACGTCGGACACGTAGATTGGATAGCCATTGGTCTCTTGATCTGATAGCTTGATTCAAGGTCGTCATCTAGTTGAGGCTGATTAACAGGCTGCTCCGAAGTCTAAAAATTAACATTAAATTGATATTACAAATTTATTTTCAATGAAATAAATATTTAATTTATTATAAGTATCTACTTTGTTCCTACGTACTAGTTGGTCCTGAGGTTCAGGCTTCCAAACATCCTGAAATGGGCCTGCAGCTCGGGCTCCGACTCTGTTAGTTTTGAAAGATTTCATTCCTTCCTTAGAAATATGTGCCTAAATTAAAAATCATATCTAAAATTTATTTTAAAAAATTATACTTTATAAGATTTTGCTAATTTATGCTTACTTCCTTCCAACTATGACAGTTTGAGTGAAATGGGCCTGTAGCTCCAGCTCCAACTCTGTTCCAATTTTTAGGTTTCCTCTGTTCATTTGAAATATACACCTGAATTAAAAATGATATTTAAAATTCATTCTAAAATTATGCATAGAATCATTGTGTTATTTTATACTCACTTCCTTCCAATTCTCACTTTCTGATCTTACATCTGTAGTGGGTCGAGCAGATGAGCCTGCAGATGGGTTGACTGCGGAATCTCCTCCAGCTCTAATAAGCTTCTATAATTCAATAAATAAAATATTATTTATAATCCTGTATATGTAACATTAATTATATAGTTTAATTACAATTATATCTTACATTAGGATATTCAAGTCGAGGCTTCTTTCTTTCATCTTCAGATAAAGAGGAGCTTCTTGATGTTTTATTCTTTGAATTATACACCAGGTTACTAAAGTGAATGACATATTTGACATATATTTACTCGGTTAGAAATATTTCAAAATTTGTATAAACATAAATTGTCTCACCGAAGATATTGAGAAAGTCCATTTGTAAGGGACCTCTGCGAGCTCAAGGGATCGGCTTTAAAGTCTGAATACCATCTTTCTGACCCATTTATAACCCCTAAAATTATTATTCATTTAAAGTTTGAGTTTATATTATATTATATATAAGTTAAAAAAAAATCTCACCTAGGATTAAATTCACCATTTTGGGAAACTCAGTTAGAATTACTGATTTCTTAGTTTTGTTCTTCCCAAACCCATTAGTCCAGCTGACATCCAGAAGAAACTCCTTTTCCATTATCTGCAGAAGTATCAATGAAATCAAACTGTTTTCAAGTATAAAGATCCCCCCCCCTCTCTCTTGGATAATTCACCTTAGGAAGTAGTCTATACGCGGTGTTTTGAATAGTCGAACCTTCCAGATTTTCACCCAAACAGTTTAAGCACTAGAAAGGGAACATTGTTAAGAATAATTATTTATTGTAATTAAATATTTATACCTGTGAAAAGAAACCAGCATCTTGAAGTTTATCTTCAAGTTCTTCCAACTCCCCTAAATATATAATAATATATAATTCTTATTATAAAATAGGTTTAAAAGTTTTAAATTCTTTATATTTTACCTAAAGTCTTAATTCTGTCTGGGAACGGATTGTTCTGTCTTTCAGATTTGGATTTCATTGACACATCTTTCAGATTGATCTCAGCCAATAATTTGTTCTATTAAAATAATAACATAAAAATTTATATAATTTTATAATTAAAAATGTAAAATTTTCTTAAGAACCTTGTGTATGTTCTGAAATTGGTATTTGTAAAGGGTATTCGAATTGTTCTGTATCTTCTTGCGCTGTTCATGTAAGGCAGGTTGTAGGGTGTGCTGTACTGTTTGTTGGGATGATTTCTTCCCTTTGAGGCAGGGTGTAGAGGTTTCAGGGTTGAAAACAGAGCTATCTGCATTCTCATTCATAAAATCTAGAAATATATTTATCTTTATAATATTATTTTATGAAATGACCGGACAATTGAAAAATGAAGGGTTTTTATGTTAAAATATTATATTCCTATAAAACCTTGTCCAGATAATACTAGTGAATCATCATTAAATAATAAATCCCTCTGCAAATGAAGAGGTAGATTATCAGGTTCATTATGAAACCCTCCCCCTCCAATGTAAGTGAAGTAAGGCTAGACTTCTTCTTTTTCACCGGCTTTTTTGCTACAGGGTGTCCCAATAAACATTTTGTAACGAATTCGTTATTGTCTTTGTTATGAATTAGCATTGTAATACCTAGTTTCTAAAACCATAATATGTCTGCTAGAGTTTATTTAATGAAAACAGCAAATGGCTGTAAAGATGTGTCTATAATGTCTCTGCAAGATGAACAGTGAAGACGGACAAGTTCACTCTGTTAGTAATTGTATACTGTATTTGTCTTGTTTTACTAAGTACAATTGTATACAGTCAAAGTGACAAAAAACAAACAAATTGTAAACATTGCAGACGAAAATCTTACGTATTACATCTTTCTAAGTAGGTATAACTTTACTAAATCAAAGTATTATTTAAAAGACAATATCAAAGTTGTCACTGAATTTCCATGTTTATTAGGTTACCCTGTAAAATATATACAGTATTAGTTTAAAAAGTGTTAACTAAGAGTTCCATACCTAGATTTTTCCCCTTTTCCTTTTCTCCTTTTCTCCTGCTCCCATTCTCTCCATCTGAACTGAAACCCTCCCCCACCAATGTAGGTGCACTTAGGCTGGACTTCTGTTTCGCCGACCTTGCTATAATATATGCAGTATTAGTTTTTAATAGTATCTTTTTTATTAACAAACTTTTGGAAGGGGGGGGAGGGGGGGGGGTCAAATTGACCCCCCTTCTATTTTCTAATTGTAATACAAATCTTTAACATTTGATACTTTTTTAATATGCGGATCCACGGATCCAGATCCAAATGACAAAATATCAACCAAATTACTACAAAAAAAAATTTTACCCTGAAAAGTGAAAACCAAAATCAGAATTATTGAAAAAAGAGATTATAAAATTTTCCTGATTTCTGAATGGGTTCATCAAGTTTTAGCATAAAAATTAGCAAAAAAATACGACAATTTTTTTTGCTAATTCTGCTTTGTTAAAAAAACTCAGTAAATTTCATGGAAATAACCTGGATCTGGATCCAGATGCGGATTTGTACAATCTGCTTGCTATTGTTATAGGCTTTCAAAGAGCTATAACATGATAAAACCCAATGAATGTAAGTAGGTCTAAATATAGATTTTTTTCAGGCGAGGTTAAATATGGCATTTAGGCAGTATGCCTGAGGGCTCAAGCAGTAGGTATAAAATCCCAGAGAAGGGCATGTGTTAGTTAGGAAAGCATGACAATTTTAGCATCCTAGCTCAAATACTTTTTGAGTTATTGCAAAAAACAAAAGGGGGGAGTCAAATTGACCCCCCCCCCCCCAGGCCAGATGCCTCTAGGTTAAAGTAGCGACATAGTCAAACTGAGAACATGTCTATCTCACACACTTGCTTTAATTTTCAACATAAAACTTCAGATCATCTGCTAAACTTACAGCATACTCACATTCAGTGCATTCATGTGATTTCAGAAGATATGGTTGAATAGCAGCATAGTTACATTGAGAACAAGGATATCTCACTCCGTTATGTTTATTTTCTACATGTGTCTTTAGAGTTCTTGCAAAATTTGCAACAAAGTCACATTGAGGGCAAGGATATCTCACCCCTTCATGTTTATTTTCTACATGTCTCTTCAGAAGATATGGTTGAACAGCAGCATAGTTACATTGAGAACAAGGATATCTCACACCGTCGTGTTGACTTTTAACATGTGTCTTTCTTGCATCAGCTGTAGTTGCCACATACTCACATTGAGGGAAAGGATATCTCACTCCGTTATGTTTATTTTCTACATGACTCTTTAGTTTGCTTGCAAAACTTGCAATAAAGTCACATTGTGAACAAAGATATCTCACTCCTTCGTGTTGACTTTCAACATGTTTCTTCCTATCACCAGCTGTTGTTGCCGCATACTCACATTGAGGGCAAGGATATCTCACTCCGTTATGTTTATTTTCTACATGTGTCTTCAGAGTGATTGCAAAATTTGCAACAAACTCACATTCAGGGCAAGGATATCTCACCCCTTTATGTTTAAATTCGATATGTTTATGCATGTACTCGGTTCTAGCTGTACTAAAATTACAATCAGGGCAAAGATATCTCAATCCTTCGTGTTTATTTTCTACATGTCTCTTCAGATGATGTGGTAGAGATGCAGCATAGTTACATTGAGAACAAGGATATCTCACTCCTTCATGTTTATTTTTTATATGAATCTTTAGATTACTTGCTGTAGATGCAATATATTCACAATCAGGGCAAGGGTATCTCACTCCTTCATGTTTATTTTTTATATGTATCTTCAGATAACTTGCTGTAGATGCAATATATTCACAATGAGGGCAAGGGTATCTCACTCCTTCATGTTTATTTTTTATATGTATCTTCAGATAACTTGCTGTAGATGCAATATATTCACAATTAGGGCAAAGATATCTCGCTCCTTCATGTTTACTTTCAACATGAATCCTCAGATTACTTGCTGTAGATGCAGAATAATCACAGTGAGAACAAGAATACCCTTCATGTTTGCTTTTAATATGTTTCTTAAGATTTGAATATTCAGTTGCAAAATATTCACATTGTGAACATGAATATCCATCTTCTATACTTTTCTTTATTCTGTTTAGTTTTGGTTCAGATGGCAGAGGATCCAATCCACGAACAAATATTTCTCCTGAAAATTAAAAGATTTTTAGTTTGATCTTAAAGGGAGTGTTTCCGAAAAATGAAAGGGGGTATACGGAGAAAAATAAGCGCTTTTGATCGCTACTAATCTTACTTCTATCTGTTGCGTTTATAAGGAGAAAATTGTTAAAAACGACTTGTACCGAATAACGTAGCATCCACCCAAATTGAGAAAATTGCATTCCATGACTTGGATTGTAAAAAAAACAATTTAATATCAAACAGATTACTTAGATATTACAACCTTCAGTTATCGATTTTTTCTCAATGCATTCGCATATAATTGATATTTCATAATATTTTGTATTTGCTTTATATAAGAAAGAAAAAACTATTCTTAGAGGATATTGTTTTTTTTTCTGAACTCTTTATTGAATTGAGCTGAGCTGATTTGCTTTTCTTTTTTTTGAACTTGCACATGAGTTATTATTACTCACTCATTTTCTTGAAAATTTTACTTAGGATAAAATAAATAGAGCGGGGGGGGGGGACGCCTCCTAGCTCCTTCTCTTAATGTTGTCTCCATTTGCCATCGGTAAAATGGACAGTGCAAAGCTAAACATCATAGTCTTTCCTACTAAGGGAAATTTTAAAAAAACCATAACTGCACCCCTTATGTAAAATGGAGAGTTGTAAGCCTTAAAGCTCCATCAGGAGGAATCTTTCACAGCAGTCCAGTCCTCACAGCTGGTCGAGTACAAGACCAGTATCGTTGTGCACATGGCTTGTATACCCATCAGGGGTTAAACTACTTCTTCTTTCAGCTGAACCAGGCTAAAGATGGAGTTCTTGTTTTATTTAACTTCTACATTACACTCCCTACTCCACTGTAGAATTCAACGAAAATACAATAATAAGATAACTAGATAACCAAACAGTTATTTGGAAAATCAACATCAGCTGTGACACTGTTATGTATTCTTTGTTTAAAAATGTAAAACTATCATGATTACCTTGTATTCCTGTATTTGTTAGCTTAATTTCATCTTCAGGTTTATTTACAAAACATGTATCTTCTACTGCAGGAGAAGTTATCTTTAAGTCCTGAACAATTTTTAATTTCTTTTTCATGGTTCCTGGCATTTTATCTGAAACATGCATTAAGCATAAACAATGCATCAACATATTAAAATAATTATTTTGATGATACAAAAAAGTTGTCAATTTATATGTACAAAATTGTTGATGAAACATACAGGGATAATATTTATAATGAATAAAATAAAAGTTCAGCAATAAAAAACAGACAGTTAAAACAAAAAAAAAGATAAAAATAACATAATGCTTGGGTTTATTCCTTATTTTTGGCGCTGGATTTTCGAACATTCCTGGAAAATATGAAATTGTCGTCTTCATAATCAAAAATCCTCGAAACATGAAAAATTTTTTTCAAAATTAACTATTAGATCATAAAGAATAAAAAATATTATGAAATATCAATACGAATGCGTCAAATTTTTTTTGATGATTATTGGTTGTAATATCTGAATGATTTGTTAGGAATCAAATTGATTTTTTATGATTCGAGTTGAATGTTGCAACTTTCTGAATTTGTATGAATGCTACGTTCTTCAATATGAGTCGTTATTAACAGTTTTCTCCTCATAGACGCAAAAGATAGAAGTAAGTTTAGTAGCGATCAAAAACGCTTATTTTCACCGTAAGGTTGTAATGAATAACCAATAAGTACTAATTACTATATCAGGGAAACCTGATACCTTATCTATATTCCTGCTAATAACTGTTATAATCATTTTTATGCATATCTTGTAACCAAATAAAGGATTAACATCATCATTCATTTCCCTTATAAATATATATGTACTAGTTGGGTGACCGCTACGCCGGTCACCCCATTTAACCTGTAACCTTATGTCTCAATAAATAGGTAGTTACATGTAAAATCTAGCGTTGAATAGACCTGGCTTAAACCCTAGGTAGAGAAGACAGAAATACAGTGCGTTTTCTGTAATTCAGATAGATTCAGAAAGACTGGCATTTTGTGACAAGCCTCATTCATTTTTCGCGAACACTCCCTTTAAATTGGATAACATTTTCAGAACAAATCATCTTCCTCCAGTTCTTGGAAGAAAAACAGTTTTGAAATTGATTCTACAGGGTGTCCCCAAAAAAATGATCTAATAGGTACGAGAGGTACAAGTATCTATAAATAATCGTACGATTTTTATATTTTTGGACATTTTTCGAAATCTCTGTAACATTTCCAATCACTGGACATTGGACGCCAATTACAAGTTTGTAGCACTTATCCCATTAGTGACAATTAGGTCGTTTAAAAGCTTTAAAATTAATAATCCAAAAATCGTTCTCTAGGAAATTACCAGTCTGATAACGAACTGCATTTGTTTAATAAAAAATACAGCATATATATTGTCACTTCTGCCTCGCGGTACAGTACAGAGAAAACTAAGTTGTTTAACTTCTTGTTGAAGATGTTCACTCACTTCACGTTGAACTGTGCAGTGTGGCTCCGCTGTGCAGGAATAATCCTGCACTGCCGGTATACCATATGTGTCTTCGTATACTTTAAAAATTTAATTTTGTGCAAGGAAAAGCTTAAAATAATAAGAAAAAACCCGATACTTTCAAAGTGAATATATATATTAAGGAGAGAGTAAACACCCCAGACAAAAGAGATTGGATTTCAAACTCCTGGACCCCACTCTCTCTCTCCGGCCGTACCCCATACCCATATCCTGGTCCACTCCCTCCCGTTCCCCTGTCATCAGAGCTGGGCTACATATTCTTTTCTTCGGAGGGGGAGGGGAGGGGGAGAGGCGAAGGAATTTTGAAAACAAATTTGGGCAATAATTTGTTTTAATTAGTTTAAAATAAATCTTTAGAGGATAAAAATGTGTTGTTTTTTTTTAAATCGACTTAAAATAATCTAGAAATATTAATATAATCAAAAGTAAATTTTAGATCTATATTTGACTTTGATACTAAAGCTTGAAAACATTCTTAAAACGTTTAGCATTGCCAGTTAAAAATTTATCGTTTTTTTTTCTAATTTCTTATCTTGTCTCCTTATGACCACCCCNCTCCTCTGTTCGTTTTTCGCAACATTTCAAAATTCTAGTCGGGGAGAAGAAGGGGGGCCGGCAGGGTTCAGGGGTAATTATAAACACATATTTAAAACAATATTTTTCTGCGGTTTACAATGCAGTATACTAATATTTAATTTTGTAATAAACAACCCTCTCAACATATTCGAAACTATAATAAACATCAATTTTGAACAACATTTTGGGATTAAATTTCAACAGATTATACGCAAAGAAAATAATTTTTAGAATAGATGATACTATAATATATTTTGGTAGAAAACATGATCGTTAATATTGAGGAAGGAGTTAAATTATCAATTCAAAAAATTCCTAACAATGCTCTATCCTTCTTATATATTTTTTATATATAGGATTTCCATCTTGAGTTTAACAAACAAACTTGCATAAGGGTACAGAAAGTTGCGATAGAATTTATGTGGAAAGGAGTTTAGTTTTTGTCACAAACTCTGATTTTCTAATCTCTATATCTTTGAACCCAATGTTGTAGACCTTAGATATTTCATACTATAATGCTTATAGATAAAATAATCAAAGTTTGAAATGTCAAAGGTTTTCACCATAAGATTGCAAAGATAATGAAATCAGAAGATTTTAGTTTGTGGCAAAAACTCAATTCCTTTCATTTCAGATAACAATTTTAGTTTATAGTCTCATGCCATTACTTAATATACTTTTTTTTTGGAGCAATCTAGCTTTCCTAACAATATTTTATATTAACAAACTTTTATTATCTATTTATATACTTTGCTTGTCTGTTTGTTTCTTGTGTACCCAATACACGTCAAAACGGCTGAACCAATCAGGCCGCAGGGAAAGTTTATGAATGATCAAAATTTGCCTCCGACAAAATTTGATTTCCAATAAAATTTTTAAATCCACAAATTTTTTTTATGAAACCGCGAATTTTTGTTTGTTTGTTTTGGTTTTACAGTGTATACAAAGAGAAAATGTTCACAATTGAAGTAGAAGATAGGCGTAAAGCCTTTTCACAATATAAAATATTCAACCAAACTTTCTAAAAAATAAATAAAACATTTTTCGAAATTTTAAAAAAATGAGCATCATTCTTATGTTCAATGTGCAAAATTAAGATTGATCTTTTTATATAAGATTAAATGAACAAATTTTGCTAATTTTTGAGAGATAAAAATCATATTCCACCCCCTCCCCCAGTAGCATTGGTAGGCTATATTAAAAAATTGCAAATAAAATAAAATTTTTATTTTTTTTTCAGCCGAACGTGAAGAGATTTGTACATGATCTAGTCCCAGGAGAAAACCAACAATGAACAGTTTGAGAAAATATGAAACCAACAATTAACAGTTTGAGAAAATATGAAACCAAAAATGAAAGTTTTTGAAATTTATCCTTAAGTAGTTGTGCACCATAGAGAGGCACGTTATTTAGTCTAAATCTTTAAAATTGATATTGTTATAGTATACAGTACATGCGTAAATGTTATTTATTAAAACTCAAATTTATACGTTTTTTGATAAATTTCAGATTCCAGATTAACCATTTCATAAATGTTAGATGTAAGTTAGATTCAAGAGAGTTAATTAGTTTTTTTAAATACAAAAAAAACAAGGCCCCTGTCGCCCCTCTTTCACATTTTAAACTCTTCTAGTCTCAGAGTTAACTATGATAAGCATAGAATTAAAAATATAAAAATTACACTTTTCATTGTTTGTAAAATATATTTTTATCTGTTTCAAAGATTATCCTTTTAGGCAACAGTATCATTATAAAGGAAATAAAATTAAAAGCAGGTTTGTCTCACACACATTTTATTCACAATCTTAACTAATTTTATGTAAATGCAAATTTACTGAAAAAGAAAAAGTTTATTGTTTAAAACCTTGACAGAATTGTAGAATTGTATTTGTGAAATGTAGATTAAAAGAAATAAAGTACTATAATGGTTCTATTTTTTTTGAAAATTTAAATACTAGTGATTACCCAATGTTTATTGTTTATTTTGCCTCAAGCCCTAATTTGCATATGCTCTTTGTCTGTATAACCTGAGGCCGAATTCAAAGAATTTGAGCCGGGGCTTAAATTTGAGCCGCGGCTCAAATATGGTTGGTTTCACTTAAAATTGTATTCATTTTTTCAAGATTTATGCCGGCGCTCAATTGAAACCGGTTTTTGGGGAATTTGAGACGCGGCTTAAATTCATTAAATTCGGACACAGATCTTTTACTACATTAGTCAGCGTTTATATCAATAAAATAAAGTCGGCATTTCTGTTTCTAACAAGATTAACAAGTTTACAAGTAAACAATTAGAGCAGCTTAAATTTACATTCATGTTTATGTGCATCCATGTTTATTGAAAGCTTGGTATAAAATCAAAAATTAAAATCAAATCTCAACTTTATTGTATTGATATATACGACGACGACTGTACATGAAGGAGAAATCAGTGTTCAATATGATATTAAAGGTCTATGACATCAGAGGCCGAGTTTAAGGAATTTGAGACTTTCATGTTTCATTTCAAATGTCGTGTTTTTTTCGATTTTTGTCAAAAAATATCAATCAATTATTGATATCATTTAATTTATTGCAAATTAAAATTGTTCAACCCTGCATTTTTTTCACTGGGTTTTACTCATAGAATTTATTTTATTTAAGAGGGCTGCGTAATTCTAAGTAGAAACTCAAATCAAAAATTTAAATTCGCTATGACAATCAACGAACTTTTGCGTAAATCCGGGGGAGGGGGGACGGCTTGTTTACACCTTTTAAAGAATTGGACATAAACAACTCTTTTTTTAAAAAGATACTGAATTACAGTTTACAATTAAATTAAATCTATTTTTTTTTCTGTTCATTCCTCTGAGTTCAGTCATAAAATCTCTAATGTATTTAGATTCTCGTACTTCAAGTAAACTTCTTCCGAGGTCCCAAACCTTCTCTAGAACGGTAACTTTTAGATGATATAGTTCATATCCAGGATTTTAAAAATGTTCTCCTGTAGGCTGGTTTGTATGGGGATTTCTAATGTAACCAATATGTTCTCTCACTCTTTCATCTAAAGATCTTGTTGTCTGTCCTACATATTTGTAGTTTTATGTAATACAGTAAACTACATTTCTGGTCTTACAGTTGAAAGTTCCATTAATCTCAATCTTCTTGCTGGTATTAGAGGATTGTATGACTGTTCCAGGCTCTATGTAGGGACAAGTTGGGCAATTTAAACCACAAGGTTTCATACCAGGTATTAGCCTCTTTGACCTCATTCTAGGAGGATCTGGAATTCTGGCTCGGATGAGTTTATTCCTGAGATTAGGAGGTCTCCTATAGGTAACCATAGGTGGATTTTGAAAAACCTCCTTCATCAAAAGATCCTGGACCATGTTTCTCCAATGTTTCTGTATGATGAAGGAGATACAAGGCAGCTAGGGATTAAATGAGATAGAGAATATAACTCGATCTGGTTTCTCCTTTTTTTCCACTTTCTTTAAAGCAACTTCTCTAGGTATAGCTTTAGCTCGGACTCTAGCAGAGTCAACAATTGAAGAATTGTAATCCCTGCTGAGAATAAAATCCCTTAGTTTTAAGAATTGTGCATCCCTAAATTCTTAAAATTCTGTATGCAAGTGAATAAGGTATTGTTAACCATTAATTTTAAAACCTCTATAAAATGTCGTCTTC